ACAAAGATAGAGCCATATAGTAACCTGGCACCAAAGATAGAGCCATATAGCAACCTGGCACCAAAGATAGAGCCATATAGCAACCTGGCACCAAAGATAGAGCCATATAGTAACCTGGGACAAAGATAGAGCCATATAGTAACCTGGCACAAAGATAGAGCCATATAGTAACCTGGTACAAAGACAGAGCCATATAGTAACCTGGCATAAAGATAGATCCATATAGTAACCTGGCACAAAGATAGAGTCATATAGTAACCTGACACAAAGACAGAGCCATATAGTAACCTGGCATAAAGATAGATCCATATAGTAACCAAGCACCAAGATAGAGGCATATAGTAACCTGGCACAAAGATAGAGTCATATAGTAACCTGACACAAAGATAGAGCCATATAGTAACCTGGCACAAAGATAAAGTCATATAGTAACCTCACACAAAGATAGAGCCATATAGTAACCTGACACAAAGATAGAGTCATATAGTAACCTCACACAAAGATAGAGCCATATAGTAACCTGGCATAAAGATAGAGCCATATAGTAACGTGGCACAAAGATAGAGCCATATAGTAACCTGGCACAAAGATAGAGCCATATAGTAACCTGGCATAAAGATAGAGCCATATAGTAACCTGGCATAAAGATAGAGCCATATAGTAACCTGGCACAAAGATAGAGCCATATAGTAACCTGGCACCAAAGATAGAGCCATATAGTAACCTGGCATAAAGATAGAGCCATATAGTAACCTGGGACAAAGATAGAGCCATATAGCAACCTGGCACCAAAGATAGAGCCATATAGTAACCTGGTACAAAGATAGAGCCATATAGTAACCTGGCATAAAGATAGAGACATATAGTAACCTGGTACAAAGACAGAGCCATATAGTAACCTGGCACAAAGATAGAGCCATATAGTAACCTGGCACCAAAGATAGAGCCATATAGTAACCTGGGACAAATATAGAGCCATATAGTAACCTGGCATAAAGATAGAGCCATATAGTAACCTGGGACAAAGATAGAGCCATATAGCAACCTGGCACCAAAGATAGAGCCATATAGTAACCTGGCATAAAGATAGAGACAGATAGTAACCTGGCACCAAAGATAGAGCCATATAGTAACCTGGCACCAAAGATAGAGCCATATAGTAACCTGGGACAAATATAGAGCCATATAGTAACCTGGCACAAAGATAGAGCCATATAGTAACCATATAGTAGCCTGGCATAAAGATAGAGCCATATAATAACCTGGGACAAAGATAGCGCCATATAGCCACCTATATAGTAACCTGGCACCAAAGATAGAGCCATATAGTAACCTGGAACAAATATAGAGCCATATAGTAACCTGGCATAAAGATAGAGCCATATAGTAACCTGGGACAAAGATAGAGCCATATAGCAACCTGGCACCAAAGATAGAGCCATATAGTAACCTGGCATAAAGATAGAGACATATAGTAACCTGGCACCAAAGATAGAGCCATATAGTAACCTGGGACAAATATAGAGCCATATAGTAACCTGGCATAAAGATAGAGCCATATAGCAACCTGGCACAAAGATAGAGCCATATAGTAACCTGGCACCAAAGATAGAGCCATATAGTAACCTGGCATAAAGATAGAGCCATATAGTAACCTGGGACAAAGATAGAGCCATATAGCAACCTGGCACCAAAGATAGAGCCATATAGTAACCTGGTACAAAGATAGAGCCATATAGTAACCTGGCATAAAGATAGAGACATATAGTAACCTGGCACCAAAGATAGAGCCATATAGTAACCTGGCACCAAAGATAGAGCCATATAGTAACCTGGGACAAAGATAGAGCCATATAGTAACCTGGGACAAATATAGAGCCATATAGTAACCTGGCACAAAGATAGAGCCATATAGTAACCATATAGTAGCCTGGCATAAAGATAGAGCCATATAATAACCTGGGACAAAGATAGCGCCATATAGAAACCAAGTTACTATATGGATCTATCTATGTGAGTATGCTTTTATACATAATTTGATATCACATTTTATATAAGGTTTAATCTGCACTATTGTGTACCCCTCTGTTTGTATTTCAGCATATCCTGTAATACCAAGAAAAGAGGGAAGTATTTTAACAGCTTCACCTGTTGCATATGTGTATTTTTCACTTTGACCGCAGCTATATAGGGAGACAGACCAGCAGTTATTGTGTGTGTTTTACCCTGGCTGTAACTGTCTAGGAGTAGGAGATGGGCCTGGGTCATTGATTCTGGTTTAAAATACTGCTGTATCTATCTACATTGCTAGTCAGTAGCATTTAAAACAACTTTGAGTATAAAATAGGAGATTGCCTTTATGGCATTGATCCTAGTGTGAGATCTAGTGTGTAGAAATAAGATCTGGTTGTTTTGTATTTTGTTCAGAAACAAAGTGCAAAATAAAAAAAGAAACACATTCCTCTTACTTACACAAACTTTGAATGATAGATAGCCTACCTCATTCATTCTAGTGTGAAACTGGTGGTTCTGTTTAGTGCAGTGTCCTGCTGCTAGTCACTGCCATTTAACACCAACTTGGAATCACTTTTTTTTTTAAGTGTGTAGAAATAAAATTATTTTTTAGAGGGAGTGTGTTGTTCAGTAAAAAATGAAAAAAAAATCCTCTTGCCTAACTACTGCCAAACTTCGAGTAGTAGATAGCCTGCTTCATTCATCATAGTGTGATACTGCTGGTAATGATAAGTGCAGTGTTCCACTGCTAGCCATTGCCACTGCCATTCAACACAATCTTGGAATAATCAATTTTCTGTTTGTTTGTTTTTTAATATTTTAAGTGTGTTGAAAGAAAATTCCTTTGTATTTTTTCACTCATTATAAAACTATATTCTTTCATTCCCTTTTTTTTTTTTTAAATCCAGTTATATAATAATAATCAGAATTGGCCTTGCACAAATGCCTGATACTGCATAGCCATTAGACTTGGCAATATTGTATCAATTTTTGCATATCAGCACAGTCATAGGCACTTTTTTTCATGTTTTCTTGGCTTCTCTAATTTCCTTCCTGAATTTATATTCAGTACTCAATGTCTGCTGAGTGAACCATGGCATGGACTAAATATTGCCCTTCTGAAAAACTATTTTTTTTACCTGAAGTACTTGGGCAGAACCACATTTTTGCAAAAAATGTAATGCAAATCCTTCACATGCTATAACTAGACAGAGTCAACTGCCTCTCTCTAACCCCATTACTTAATAAATAGTTTTTAAAAATGGTCTGCTAGGTGAAGGTTAATTAAAATGATAAATTTTATACACAGTTATGCAAAGTTGCTATGATGCTTGGAGCGACTCTTTAATACCTATAATTTTCTATTTTCTCTTTAATACCTATCATACCTATCGACTCTTTAATAAATTTCATTTTCACTGCTTGGTCACAAGAGATTGGTTTATGTTTTAATCTTTGCCCTTTTTTATTTTTATGACATCTTCCATAATATATTGTTTCTACAAATTGCAATTGAAAACTACGACCAACAGAACTGGTTTTCCATTAAACAATTACTTTTTACACTCCATCATAAACGTGAAAATCTTTTTCTACTTTGATTGGCGTAACTGGGACCTTCAGTTGCGCTCGTAGATAAGAGTTATCACTCATCATGTTTACTTTACTTGATAGGGCAACCACAACATAAAATGTTCAAAGAAATATACAGTTGGGAGCACAAATTACAAAACTTGAAGATGAACTCCAACTGAGATACACTTGAACAATGTATTGAGTGGTTAAGGTCGATGTCGCTACTATAAAACAGACAAAACATTAAACAAGAACTTTAGTAAAACTACATGGGTTATACTGCTGAACAATATTTTCAAATGTTTGGAAGAAAATAAAAAAATGTCTAGTGTTGAAAATATCGATCCACCAACTCTACTCAGATTAATTGGTAGCCGACCCATATAATCAATGTGTCCCGAAAGTCTTGTTTTGAAAAAAAAGTACCAAGCTTTTTCTGTTTTACTTTTTCCCAGATTTGAAATCAGAAACCTATGACTCTGATAAACTTGATGAAGCAAATGTATATGGTATAAATTAATTAAAGTAGCTTGTTTTGAAATGTATCTGCAGTATTTCCCCTAAGTGATCATTAAAGGGACACTATAGTCACTAGAACAACTACAGCTTAATTTTGCTGTTCTGGTGTCTATACTATGGCTTTTCAGAGAAAAAACTGTGCTTACATTGCAGCCTAGGAACACCTCTAGTGGCCCCTCCTCAGATGGAGATGCAGAATTTTCCACATAGAGATACATTGTTTCAAATCATCTCTATGAGGAGATGCTGATTTGTCAAGGTGGTGTTTGGCTCTGCCCCCCGCTTCCTTGGCTGAGATCAATAAAATTGTCCTATGGGAAAGCGTTGGGATTGGCTGAGAGCATCACTTCTGATAATGTTAGCCAAGGAAGCAGATTGGGGATGGAGCCACCGCTGGCAGACCCGCACGACACTGGAAATAAAGTGATTTTTTACTATATTTAAGGGGGGCAAAATAGTTAAGTGTTATAAGGTCAGGAAAATACTTTTGTGTTCCTGACTCTGTAGTGTTCTCTTAAGGTATTTGCCAGCTGCTCGATCTGTATTTAAAAAAACTTTGAGGGACAAGTTGGATTGATACTTACTCACCCTCATTACATACAAAGTGCTAATGCAGTCTACAATATTAGAAGAATATAAGTTTCATGTTATGAAGAAAGGCTTGAAAACTGCTTTTGTTTATTTCCTAAAAAAAAAAAAGTATAACAGAACTATGCAAATATGTATGCAAGGCCAAGATAAACAACTGTTTGGTTAACTTGTTCATTAACACAACTATAGATAAGCAAGCACCATTGAGGCATGAAGAAGATTTAATCTACAGCAGAAGAGATGAAGAACAGAAGATTAAAGAATATGGTAGTTAAGGAACACTCTAAATCATAAGCGCCCAGGTTCCCCCTGTCACGGCTCCCAACATCTCTGCCGGTGTGGCTGCTATGTTTGAGTACAGCCACGCTGGCAGAGATGTTGGAAGCCGTGACAGGGGGAACCTGGGTGTTTATGGTTTGGAATGTTCCTTAACTACTACATTATTTAATCTTCTGTCAGAGAGGTTTCAAACTTACCTTGGGCACGGCAGGCAGCTACCCGGTCTTCCTCCTTTCTGGTCCCCAGCGGGTGCGAAGTTCTTAGGAACGACGGCCGCTGCGGATCGGACTTTTATAAGAAACTTACCTTCGCACACATCAAAGATGGCGCCAACGTGCGTGCGGCGTCACGTCATAGATGCGCACGCATGTTTTGGGGTCAGAGGTCAGAAACAGCCAATTACAGCATCAGGAGGGTTATTTAAAGCCAAATTACCTTTTTGTTAGTGCCCTGTCGTGGTTTCCACTATCTGGTTATCCGAGAGTGTGTTCCTGATTGCGTTTTTCTGGTATTTGACTTTGGCTTCGTTTTGACTTCCCTGATTTCTGGTATCCTTGACTTCTGGCTTTCCTCATCGTTGTGTCTCATTCTGTGTCCCTGACATCCGGAAGTATTTTGACTATTCTGCGAAATGTTAAGTCCGGCCATTCTAAGGTCCAGTTAAATGCTATCCTTAGTCCTAGGTGTGATACTATTCTGCATGCTGGATCAACTATAATCCTAACACCCCCGTAGTAAGGAGTCCGACTTGTCATGAATGGTTTGACTTTTTACCTGCAGCTCACCAGGTACCGCTCCCCACCTCCAATACTAATGTTGAACAGCCTTTAAGATATGGGATAAGAACTTTATGATCAAAGTCGAAATCTGAATGCCATTTTGTAGTGAAGAAGTATTTTACCCTTATTTTGGTACAATTTGCTTCAAACTAAAATTGCTTCAAACTGAATTTTTCATCTTCTTTTGAATGAATAGAGAAACGCTTGTGAACGGTTGAACTTGATAGACTTGAGTGTTTTTTAAAACTAGGTTATATGTAACCGTGTAACTAAGGAAACATCTCACTAATGATAGTAATTGACTTGTTAATTTCTATGGATTCTTTAGCATTCTTTAACATTTTTCGAAGCTCTACAATAGCTCTGCAAGTAAACAAACAGATCGGGAGTACAAGTTGGCTTTCATCTCGACTGAGAGATTTCACAGGAATTTAGTGATAGCTGAAATCACTGTAACCAGAATATCTTACACTTAAACAGCTGACAATAGTAGATATATCACATCTTCAAGTAGATTTGGACCTGGCACAGAAAGTGCACGGCAGACTCACATAAACATATCAGCACAAAGCTGATGTATCATAGGTTAACACAGGGATGCTAACACTTCCATGGGTGAACAGGTCACATCTAGCCAATAGCTATTGTTGGTATATCAGGTACACTGCATTACTAGTAAAAGTGTGTGACGGTACAAGCCGTTACTCCGTCAAGCATCCCTTCTTCCCATAAAATAAAATCACCAAGTAATCCACAGAGTAGTAAATCGCAGGTATCGCTGAATAATCCACACATGAGCCAAAGCTTAATGCTGGAACAAGATTTTACTGGAAGTAACAACAACAGGTATTCAAGCTACAGTTTCTTTTATGCCCTGCTCACATGCAGGGGAGGGACACACACGTTATCTACAGTAGCCAATAAAACAGAGGTTACAGCCCACACAAAATCCTCCCCTCTGCCTGTGATTCAATTATCTTATACAATAGAAGATGCAATTATCACTGGTAGGAAAAATACAGTTTTTACAGTATATTCATAACTTCTAAAATATACATCACATTCACATAAAATATATATATTCACAATCAATCCATTGAGGGAAACAACATATCAAAAAATGGCATGAATCAGACCAGGGGTTCAGAAGTTAGTAAAGTATCTTTTGGGGCCTGGCTGGCAGCATGGCTATCTGGCCCAAACCGGTTTTACAGAGCCCTCTATCCTGGAGACAATGGGGAACATAATCCAATTATATCCAGGGATAGAGGAAGACTTCATTGAGCACATGTTCCCAGTAAAACACAAAAGGATACAAAAATACATAACTCCTATCATAATGAATTGAACGGGCCAAATCTCCCAGGGTCCATAGTCACAGAGCAAGAGGCGGGCAAGCAGTCCTCTCCACGCACAAGTGGCGAAGGGCACTTCATCACAGTAGTAAATCCATGGATAAAGTAGCAGGGAGGGAAAGTACCGAATGAATGGAGGAGGATTCTTCACAAAGTGTTTGTTGAGATAGTTTTTATTAATTATTTAGGGTACTCACATCAGACAGTATAGCTTGCATATGGCATTTCAGTGGGCAAATTTAACTAAATGCACACTCTAAAAAACCTCTTTATCTTAATGAAGTGGTTTTGGTCTCTTATGTCTAGCAATGTAAAACATTGCTGTTTCTGGGAAATGGTAATTTTTTTAATTGTTCCTATTCTAGGGGCTGTAAAACAAGCTTCCTTGTTGCAAAAATTCAATTAAAAGGTTTTTACATTTAGCATCATCATACACAGCATGAAAACCATGATTGAAGAAGATAACGATTGGATTTAGTGTTTCTCTATGAGAAACATTTGGTTGATGGATCTGTGTGATTGTTGAGCATGCAGCAATGCTTCCGTGTAATATTTTATATATCATCCATTCATTTTCGGAGTACCTGAATATTAAACTTTGTTCACTGTGAACAAAAATTACATAAATAAGATATTTATTTTCTGTTTCCCTTAACCTTGCTACCACCAATGATAACCTATGTGAGTAACAGTCTCATTCCACCCTTCAGTGACTTGCAAATGCCCCCCAGGATTACATGCCTACACAAAACAGTTGGACAGTGTGGTCACTACAAGATTCTGAAATTTGCCAGGAAATATATTAGTGGGACAGTCTGGTCTGGAGAACATTGAGATCTTGGACCATCTAGCCCAAGGACTTACGCACACAGTGGGGATGCAGTTACTCCTTTGTACTGTCTCATTCCTGCGGTACAATTCCAAAAGACATCCCTAAGTAACACCTTGTGATTTTAATAAACAAAAAAGTTGCCCCTCTGGCTGTATATCACTTTAGATCCTCTGAGTATGACTGTTATTAATACCGAAGGATATCACAATGCCTGCTATGGACAAAAGGAATTGAAATGCTAAGGATTATTGGCATTTTAATCCTCAGCAGCTGGTACCCATGGGTTGCCATCCTTGGTATTATATACTTGACAAAAGCAATTCCTATCGAGAAAACAGCTTAAAATAATTGAGCACATTGATTAGTGTACTCATTTATAGAGCTGAAATCACTCTGGACCAGCTGCAGGTAAAGACAAATATAATAAGCACATTATAAATTCAACAGCACAATCCCAAGAAAACAGAGACAGAAATTATCAGCTTGACTTACTGAGTTCGGTACTCATGGGTGAATATTAATCAAAAAATACGTGGATTGTGTTCGTTTTTAATATTAACTCTGGTCTAAGCCAGGGCCACACCAATTACAATTACATTTTTAAATACACCAAAATCAAGATTTACACCAACTCGAATTATTTAAATTCCATTTAAAGGGTGAATAATTAAGATCTCGGAATCTCGCTATCTGGAGCCAATTCTCATTTTGTATATAAACATGATATATATATTCCGAAGGTTCCTTACACTCAGGCTGTACAGGCAAATAAATCACTGGGTGCATTCAGCGAGGGCCACCAGGTATAAAAATACCAATAGGGACGTTAGCACTCATGGTCTTTTCAGTATATAGCAGAACCTGTTTTGTCCTGATGAAAGCTCTATGTGGGAGCTGAAACGTTGACTTTTTAAATGGATTGGATAAAAGTTAAATTTTATTTGAAAATCTCTATAAAGTCCTTGGAGTGCGCACTTGCACCACTATAGACAATTAAACTGAACATTATTGGACAATGTAGCAGTGACACCATATTTCAGTGCTCTGCTCAATAGTGTGTATAGATATCAATCTATCTTTACAAAGTTAACAACACTTGCAGGGCTATTCAATAAAGTCTCTAAGACCAGAGTCTGGATACATTAAATTTATTTACATGTCAAAATACAGACTTTGATCCTCCTTATTCCCTACCCACTGCAGGCTCTAATAATTGATATGGGAGTTTTACATACCATCGTACGCTATTGCAGTTATGTTTGATCCACTGTACATTCCCACTTATCCAGTAAGTGCACCCATACATATCATAAACCATTTTTTCAAAAGAGAATATAGGACATTATACTGATACCCTATATGTATGCATAGCACGATAATGGCAGAGAAACTAGCAGTGCAACTTCAGAGGCATGATCTATACACCAAAATTGCTTCAATAAGCTAAACTTGTTTTGGTGACTACAGTGTCCCTTTAAGTCTTTCTAAGCCTTACTTTCCATAGTTTTGTGCATTGGCCCATTGCCTGAATAATGATTACCCTCTGAGTCATTTACAGTAATCACACAAGCCTTCACTGGCATTGATTGGGGAGAGAGGGGTTTAAACAACTGCTGTACATTGTATATTCAGGTGACAGTAACGTACAGAATATGGCCCCAGTAACAAAGATGTTCACTCTTATAATGTTCTTTATGGCAATTGTTATTGAAGTTACTTATTAAAGGGTTTAGATGGCCATTACAGTTCCTTTAATGGCTGGCATGTCCATATAGAAAATACAAAAAGAGAAGAAAAAAAACGAACCACACTCCAATCACGTGAAGATCCGGGTGCTAAACTGGACTGAGGGCCAGCACCAGCTCCAGGGAATAGATATCACTAGTAGAAAGAGGATCCAGGCACTCCAAGTATCTTCAAATGTGTTTACTGGGACAAGTGAGACACCGCAACGTTTCTACCCCTCAAATGGTCTTTGTCAAATACTATTTCAGGGGTCAAAACGTTGCGGTGTCTCACTTGTCCCAATAAAACACATTTGAAGATACTTGGAGTGCCTGGATCCTCTTTTTACTTCTATTATGGAAAATACAGTCACAATGTAATGATGTTTGTGAACTATATTCCCCGGTATGCTAAACCTCCAAAAGACACAC